CCCCTCCCTCCCTCCCTTCTTTTACTTTTACTTTCTTTTCTTTCTTTTTTCTGTTTACTATTTGCACTTGAACTATTCTGTTACTATTTTCTTTTTTCTATTATTGAGATCACCTTTCCTGAACCAGATGTCCTCTAAAAGTTCACTAGCAGCATGTTCCCAAGTGAACACAAGATTTCCAGTTTAGCTGTCATATTGTATAACACTGTTTTCTGAGTGCTTCTGCTTATTAGCCAAAAAGGTGTTATTCTCCTCTGTAGATGGTGATGGTGGTATCAGCAGGCTTGGGGAAAAAGGTGTTATTCCTCTGCTGTGGATGGTGATGATGGTATCAGCAGGCTTCAGGACCTCAAGGAAAAAAATGATAAGGGAGGAATTGTTCCTCCTCACATACATGGAACTAAATCAGCCAGGAAGGATTAAGTATCTGCAGTTAGAATAAAATACTGATTGACTGTTATGGGGAAAGGGTGAAGAGGCAATGGCATAGAATGCTGGATCTCCTTCAAAACACCCCTGAAAAAAACACACAGGTATCTTGCTGGGACTTCCAAAAGAAATATACCACAGGACAGAGTCCTCTGGTCAAAAAGATTGTGGGTGAAGTAGCTATCTAATGCATGATAGTAAAGAAATGATATGTGAAACCTGTAAAAGAAATTAGGTTTCCACCTTTAGGAGGGAGCCAGCTGCCATTTCGAATTTTAGTTGCTTTTGGCCTCTCAGCCAGCACACTAAATATTATCTATCTGTCCCATTACGTAAAACCTACACAGCTTTGCCCCTGTGCATTCTCCTCAGATAAACACTGGATTCTGGTTTTCACCATCCTAAATTGACCAAAGTAGCAGTTTTAATGGTTCATGAACTTATATAATCTGTGGAGTTACATGCTGAGCACAGTCTTGGTGTTCCTATCAACCAAATATGGACCCATTCCTCAGGTGGGCTTCACTCTTTAGTAGTGACACCACAAGGGCAATGCCAGTGATAACTGGGGGTTAAGTAAGCAGTAAAAAGGACAGAATAAAAAGTAGACAAAGCCCCATTCTCTTTCTTTCTGATACACTCTGCCCCCCACTGGCATCTCTTTTTTTTTTCTCTTCTGTCCCTTTATGATCC